CATTGTCCTTCTTGCCACATGACAAGCTGTTCACATAGTAGGCTCTGGCCTCAGCCCGTGTGTGACCTATAAATAGCACCTGTGTCACTAAAGGGAAAAACTGCTGAATCAGGGACATGGGTTAGAAGAAGTGTATATCACCTTTTTGTCTGAAATACTCCTAATTGTTGATTTTTAAAGAAAAAATCTCAACAAGGGTGTGTGTGTTTGTGTTTGTGTGTGTGTGTGTATCTGTGCATGTCACACACATGAGCTTAACAGAAAGAAACCAAGAGCAGGAGTGAATGAGCAAGACAGAAGAGAATGCTCTGTTTTATGTTGTACTATATTGCACTTAGAGAAGACATAACCAAAACAGAGCTGAATTTCTTATTCCAGAAACCTCTATCATCACAATCAGACAAACTCTTCATAATTGGGCACCCCACAGAATTACACCATAGTGCCATCTAGCTCTCACTACCAAAGCTTGACATCCTATTCTCAGCTAGGTTGAGAGGTTTAAGGTTAGTCGCTGACCAGCAAAACTAAACTGATTGCCATTATTTAATAATGAAAATAAGCAAAATCCCCCAAAGAGGTTTATGTTTGGTAACAATTTATATTCAACTTATGTTATCAACATTCCAAACCTGTTTCTCAATATAAATATTAATACTTAGATCTTTCTTGTTGAATATAGATTAAATGTTGCTCTCGGTTTTTATTAATCAAATTTCCACAAAGTTTGCACTGATTACTTCCTATCTTCTTTGGAAAGCTGTCAGCTGACAATGCTACCGGCTATAGATCTGATGTCCACAAATCACTGGTCTTGCAAATTTCCAGAGCATTTGCCAAAATCCCTAAAAAGAACAAATGGGAAAATTTAATTTTAATTCACTTACACTGAATAGCAGAGTTGTTCATGTAGTACTTGTAGGGAGAAGGAGTGCTGGTGTCATGTAAAATAAAATAATAAACAGGTGTCATGCCTGCAGAAGATCAATGATTCTTACTGTAGGCATGATCTAGAAGAAAGTCTAAGAACTGTACTTTGTAGTGCTTGTGAGTTATACATTCTTTACTAAAGTATTCAATTATGGGGAATCGTGCCTGCTTCCCACTGCTGGTGCTGGCTGGGATGGAAATACTAAATGCCAAGAAGGAAAGTACATAATTGTTTTACTCTTTCTTCTGGGATAAATAGTATCATGGTGGAAAGAACTTGGCCTTTGGCCTTAGAGACTTGCATTCAAACATTGAAACAAAGCACTTTCTAAGTATTTGGGATAACTTACCTCCTTGAGCCTATCAGCATTATGGCAAAAAATAGTGGAGATAATATCTGTAAAAATATCTAATATTGTATCTTTTTTATATATAGTCTTTATTTTGTGTAAATACTATTAAAACATCAAAGAGGAATATAATCATGTGCTGTCATCTTTACAGATGTCATTAGACAGTACATATTTGGATCCCTGGTAATCTGGTTATGACGTGAGTCAGTGATTTATGAGGGGCAAAAGTTTTCCTATCACATTACCTATTCTCTGCATCATCTGGCTTACAAAAATAGGAGCAGTGCATCTTTGAGCAGAAATAGATGTCTGAAATAGCTGTTAAACTGTTTGAGAGTCAGTACGAGGTAAATTAACCCAAAATAGAGCTATAGCAGAAAAGAGCCAAAAAGTGTGACTGTATTTAGCTATGGCGATGATGCTCATGTGTGGGATTTCTTCTGGCTCCAGGGGAGGGAATTTGGTAGGGAAATAAGCAACATCTCTACTGTATCAAGAAGACTGAGTTTCCCCACACAGCCCTTCCATTTACCAGCTGTATGGATAGAAACAAATCTACATTTTCAGAGGCTAATTCCCTTATCTGCAAAATGGGAATTATATCTTTACTACCTCACAAAGATTGTTGTAAAACCAAAAGAGATAAAGTATCTGAAAGTCTTTTGCAAATCATAAAGTGATAGGCAAATATCCTCCATCTGTTCACTTCTTTCCATCTCTACTGATATCACACTGATACAAGGCCCCAGTAGCTCTCATTCCAGCCGTCTAACAGTGTCAATCCTCCTTACCTAACCCCCTCTTTATACTTGGCCCTCACTAGGAACTATTCTCCAAATGACAGCCAAGATGACCATTTTAAAACATAAATCAAGAGATAGTCAAACACCATGTACCTCTTTCTAGAGGTGTTCAACGACTTTATAAAACATTCTTGACAAATGAATTAAACCTGAGCATGATCACCCTGTCCACTTCTCCATCACAACTGGTTCCTCACTCCTTCACTGACTGGGTTCCAGCCTCCTTGGCCTAACCCAAGGTCACTGAGATTTTTTTCTAGTTTTTCTTCTAAAAGTTTTAGTTTTCACTCTTATGTTTATGTTTATGATGATCCATATCAAGTTAATTTGTATATATGGTATGAGGTAAGATTTGAGGTCTTTTCTGCACATGGATATAAATTGTTTTCACACCATTTGTTATAAAGATTATCCTTTCTCCATTGAATTGCTTTGGCACTTTTATCAAGAATCAATTGATGAGCAATCATCAACTTTTGTTTATAGCATTATTATTGCTCAGAATTTAATTTCCTTTATGTCTGATGTTTAAAATAAACACATTTTGGTCTTGGATTTTTCTAATATTAAAAAAAGAAATGTTTCAATGCCATCATTTTTATATGCTTACACTACAATACTCATATTTACTTATATCCTCTTCTACACAAAGGCTATTGTAAAAGTGCAAATCCTTCCAAGCATTGTATGAAAAGGGAAAAAGTTTAATGACACTATTGCTGTCATAGAACTAATCACAGAACCACAGATGAAAGTACATCGGTCAACTTAGGAAGCAATGACTGTGTGCATTGTAAATAATCTAAAAAAGATACAAAAAATCACTTGGCCATATATATGTGGGTCTATACCTGGACTCTCTATGTTCATTTGATGTACATCTTTCATATGTGTGTATATACACATTATATACATATTACCATGGGACCTGACTCCATAAATGATCTTGAAATCTCATAATGTTAAGATAATGATGACGTTAAGATCTGATAATGTTAAGATTCTATCCTATTGGCTGATTTTAATTATCTGCACAGCACTTAACAATGTTTTCATTCTTTATTATCTATCTTATCTGAGTAGAATATAAGCTTCATGAGGGCAGAGGAATTATCTATTGTCTCTTTTTTCTCAATGTATCCCTAGCTCCTTGAATAATGCCCTTTACATAATATATTTTCAATAACTACTGTTAAATAAATGAATGTATTAGTCTAAGGTGTTATTTTTGTCATGATAGTATTTGTTGTGCATTAAATCTCTCCTTTGCCATTGAGGAATTCTGATTGATCAGTCTTCTACAGTTCCTTCTTACATTAGAGAACTTTTCAATGCCACCACCATTTCCTCTGTACCTAGAAAGATTGAGAACAGCCAAAAGGTAATGGAAGAAGCACTGGCCTGAAATTTAAAAGGTCAAAGTGTGCAATTCTGTTCTGCCACTAACTAGTAGTGTGACCTTGGAAAAGTCATTTAACATCTCCAAATCTCTCTTTTTTTTCATCTGTAATTTGTGGGTGACAATTATATACATCACATATATAGATTATTTCAATGAGATAATAGATGTGTGTGGTACGTTTCCTGTCACATAATAGGGGACCAATAAATGTTATTGTTATCGTGTCATTATTTAGATGGTTAAAACTTACAGAACTTCTTTGGTGTTGTTTTGGGGTGGAATGAAATCTGGGAAAAATAAACAAAAGTAAAGAAATAATGAAAACTTTTCTAGAGGTAGGAATTAGAAAATTAGTAATAACTCTTAGTCTTGGCTCCCCCTAGTATAACTTTGTATCACTTTCTACTCTGAAATAAAACTACTTAGCTGACCCTTCCCTTGATACAACCATCTCTCTTCACCAACAAACCTCCTTTCCGGAAAGTAAGCCCTTGATCTTCACCAGCAAATGTTTTTCATTCCCCAATGTCTTCTGCATCTTACCCAACCTGCCTCTCATACCATTACCATGGGACCTGGCTCTGTAAATATCAAAGAGAAATATCAAGCCAACAGTTCATTGAAGTATGTCAGCCATAGTTCTTTACACTCAGGCTGTGTGAAGTTAGTGGCTTTCCTCATTAATGCCATTGTTTTCTAGGAATGAAAGAAAACTGGGAAAGGGAGAAACAAAGACTAGGGGAGGTGAGTGAGAGTACAGCCTGCTCTATATGTGGGTGTGTTTTTGTGTGTGTGCATCTGAGTATGTGTGAGAGAAAGAGGAAGATAATAAAACTAATAAGGGAAGGCACTTACATCATCAGTGCCCTATAACTAGAGGGGACGCTTGGATCATCTCTTTCTTGAGGGCTACATCAGGGACTCAACTCTTTCTATGTCTGCTTACAGTAGGGTTGGAACTCAAAGCAGCAGGATGGGATAGACGTGATGACTGGCTAAACCTGTCTGTTCGTTGGCTATCTATTCGTTGGCCTCAGCTAGGGACCAGGCATCCGCAGTACAGAGTAAGTGGACCAGCTGAAAGATGTTAAATTACATGGGAACCAGAACCATCTCACCCAGGTTCAAAGATCTATATTGACCCCCACTAATTGAAAGATCTAAGTGGAAAATGGGAGTCTTTCCACATTATAGAAAAACTCTGGAACTGTTAGAAGGAATTATAACTCTCACTACTAAGCACTGAGTAGGGTGAGCTCAGGAGAGGCGAATGGACTTACCTGAACTCCAGAGGAGAGCAGGCAATGTTTGAGAAGCGGTGTGTCCTGGTCCTTGGTATGCAAGTAGCCACTACAATCTCTGCCGGTGCTCAGCCTTCCAGGAAGAACAGTTTGTGCTGCAGGGTGGGGGGCATGGTACACCCCACACCAGCACACAGAGGATGGCAGGACGCCACTAAGGATCACACTTTAAAATCTAGACAGACTAGGCAAGTGGTTTTTTTCCTGACAGGGAAAGAATGTTTATTTCTAAGCTGACTCTGCTTCATTTACTTGCACTTGTCCAACACATTCTCAGCATCCCGAGGAAACAGGAAAGGGGTACCCAAGAAAAAAGACAGCACAGAAACAACAAAAAAAGTAAAGAGTGTGTCCCCTCGGGCCACCTTCAGAGATAACTGAAAAGTAGCATCCTTAGAGGACAGATGCTAGGAGAGCACACAATGATTCAGAAATAATACTTGCTAAAATTGACAACAAGAAGCCCCAGAAGAGCATCCCCAAGTTGTAGCACTCTATTTGCAAAGCAATTTTAACCAACAGAGCTCAAAGCATGTAGAAAGCTTTCCCTGACTCCTTCCTAGCTCCTACAAAGTAGACGAAAGCAATTATTCCCAATGCACCAGAAGGAAATGTAAAGAAAGCAAGACAAAAGGAAGGATGCTTAGAATCCTTGAGACTTCTCTCCCAAAGTAGAGTTCTACCAACTCCATCCTGCAGGCGCTTGTCCTCTCCCTGCTTAAACACACATGGAGACAAAAGTTTGCTACTTCAGGAAGCCTGCTGGATTCTTGGCAATTCTCCTGATAGGATGGTTTTTCGTACTGTGCCAATATCTGTCCCCTGCAACTTCCACAGTCCTGTTCTTTGGAGCAATATAAAATAACTCGACTCCTGCTCTTCTTCATCACAATCCTTCAGATGTGTGGATATGACTATTAGGCCTGCCACAATGTGTTGTCATGAAGTCTCTTTATCTTTTTCTTCTAATTAATCTTATGTGACTGGTCTTTTAACTTTCAGCGTCTCAATCACCTCCCCTATCCTGGAGCAACTCAACATGGGGGCATCAGTCTGAGGTAGAAAGGGCCTTCCCACATCTGACAAGCAACACATCTGAACCTCCTTCTGTGAGATGAGGAGAAAGGAAGGCACCTTGGTCAAACAACGTAAGAAAAGCCACCTCTATGTACTTAGAAAATAGAAAATGAAATGGTTTGACCTTTTCTGTGGCACTGTGCAGAGCTAACCCAGACAGAAGCTGCCTTAGATTATTATAAACAGATAATTGGAATAAAATTTAATACTCACCTTTCAAATTTAGAAGTAGATTTCTCTTGTCCCTCTTGCACTTTGTTGTCGAGGGGGATAAAAACATCCACCCACCCATTCCCTGCACACATACACTATCCTAACACTTTGAAGAGCAGGCAATGAACATGCTCCATCTCTGAGGGCACCCAGCAACTGGACCCAGAAAACACTCAGAAAAAGGAGTCAGTTTCCCTGGAAGATACCCGACACCCAGAGGGAACAATTGATCTGAAAGCTTTTCAGAGCTTCCAACAAAAGCAAGTGGGGCTTCCCCAAGAGAGAATAGTTTCCCTCCTTGGCCCAGTTTTCTGAGTCCAGCTAAGAAGAAAGTATACTTAATTTAGCTAAGAAACTATTACAGTTAAATGACCTTTCTTAAAGTTGCTTCATGTAAGAAGTCTTCAAAACCCATAAAACAGGCAATTCCACATAATCAAGAAAACGTTCACGTCTCCACCCACATTTATCATAATTTTTAATCTACTTCTCCAACACTCACTTTGACCATCTCTGTTGTTTTTCTGTAAATCGGTTTAGAGGGGGTACGAATCTGTTTTCAGCAAATACTTACTCCCTTCCCCCTCTTCAGTGCTTCTGTTCAGGTTTCTTTTGGGAAACTGAGCGTTAGGTCTTGTGCTTTTCGTCATGGTGTCCCCCTTCTACGTTTTGTCACACTGTCTTCTACATTTGACCCATGGCCTGTTATTTTATGTGGATTAGGGATAAAGGACAAAAATCAAAGAATGGCAATGTAGTTAATCAACAAGCACCAAGAACAGGACTAGTAATAGACAGACTACTAATTAAGAAAAACTTCTTTAGCAAAGGTGTCTAAGTTGGTTGCTTAGAACTCTAAGTACATTTTCACATGGTCACCATGTTATGTACATCATGAGAGGGAATTGAAACAGTGCAATTAGTGCCCTCTTTTGAGTAACATAGACCTCGTGAACTGGTCTGAATAACTACCTAGTCGTCATTTATAATAATAGGTCATGGGAAGATACCCTCCTTCTCTTGTTCATCACTACCGTTTCTCCTGGTTCCTCCAATAGCAGGCATAGAGGGGTTTTAATTGTTTTTGAGGAACAAAGGAATAAATGAATAAATGCACTTATTTATTCATCAAATATTTATAAAACACCTACCATAGTTAGGTGCCATGTTAGGTGCTAAGGAACTAGATATAGCCCTTATCCTTAAGGAGCTCACAGTTGAGTGGGGGAAACAGACAAGTAAACAAATAATTACAGCATCATGTGATGGTGCATTAAATGCTAGTGAAAAGCATAAACATGGATGAGATCCCAAATGAGAGTGAGTGGAGTGAGATAAATACAGAAGACCTTATGGAATATAACATTAAAGGGACCGATGGGGGAAGAGGAGTCTGCCAAGAAAAATGGAAAGAAGGTGCAAGAGAAGACATAAGGAAGAATGGTGTCACAGAAGCCAAATAAGGAGGGCACTTCAAGAAGGGAGTGGTAATACCACCTCATCTACTTTGTCATCTAGTAGTGACTAAGTGACTACTTAGTCACTTCTTTTTGTAATAAATATTGCCAGTCCAGACCTCCCCCTTGAATTCAGAGACTCCACCTGCCCCTCCTACATCTCCACATGGCCATCTGATAGGCTTCAGCTAGAATGACAATCAACAGGTAGAAAAAAACATTTGGACAAGTAAAGGGAATAGATGTTTAAGCCACTACTCATGACAGCTAAAACAAAAACCTGAGGCATGCAGGATGTCAGAAAGACTTCTTGGGGAAGGTGAGATACATTTGCTCAGGGAAGTTATAAATGATGAAAGGAGAGGAGAGGCTGCAACTTGGGAAAGAACAGTGATAGGATTGAACCCTTGAATGTTTCTGTCCATTAACCAAGATTTGATCAGTCAAATGATACATAAATTATATACTTATACTCAGTTGAAAGATCATTTCACCAACCATGAAGACGTCAGCTATCAGAACAAGCTACTTAGGACAATTAAGAACCATATTATTCCTCCTCAAACCACCTATTTTTATCTGTGAGGATAAAATCTAAAGAAGCTTAAAGAATCTCCCACTTCCCATGTACTGTCGCATGGGATAACCTGGAAACCAACAAAAACACCACTTAACCAGATGGTTCTTCCTACAGTGGGTCAGAGTCTACATTCTTTAATTGAGAAAATTAAGGTACAGCAGGTGCGGCTGATATTTCAAACAGTAAGCATCCCACTTCTTTGTAAAGGCACTTAATAGGTAAGGAATTAAAAGAGGAATGAATCTCAACAGAACTTCCTCTCAGCAGATGTTCAGCAAATCCTTCCCAATATGAGGGACTCCAATGTTAACTTCTTTATTTGCTTTGGTTAAAAAAAGAACAATTACTTCTCAGGGATTCATATTAAAACATTTTGTGTGATGCCAGATAAATGGGACACTCTGTCATAGACAAAATTTTATTTTGGACCAATGGTTTGCAGATTTAGTCTGTGTTCTTCTGAAAGAAAAGATCTATAAAATCTATCCACACGAATCCCTGCTCCTGGCCCTATGGAGTGATAAACCTCTGGGGTTGCCTGGAAACTTGGTTAAAATTGCTTGATTTCCTCTGGAACATCTCAGAAAATGGTGTGTGGAGCATTCAATCTCTCCTTCCTGGGTGTAATTCAAGAAGCTATGGATGACTCCTGATTTGTTTGTCAAAGAGTTAGATTTTCCATGATGTTCAGACAGGTCCTGGCTATTGACACTAGATTGGCATTACTCCCAAAGGTCAGATTCTCTACCTGCCACTGTATGGCATTTCTCCATGGGGGTCAGGTGCACTCAAATGCACTTTTCCACCAATCATTGAGTCTGCTCAGCACACATCATGAACTTAGCTAATGCTTTTGCCAGAATGTTCAACTTTTCACCCCACATGATATATAAAACACTGAGGTGTGGTATAAACCATAAAGAATGAGAATTCACTAGATAGGATTGCTAAGAACATTGGAAAATGAAGTAAAAGTTGGGGAATCTTTCTTTGAGAGCCTACTCAAAGTAAGGCATTGTAGAAGACACAAAACATTAAGACTTAAATTGCTTCCAGAGAAAAGACATTAAAGGTTCATTTAAAAATGTAACAGCATAGGCAGAATTTGATGTGCTGAAAACTAACATCACTTCCTCAGCACATGCCACAGCTCCCCATGCTATGTACCCCAATCTCTTCTCTTCTTCAGCCCCAGAGACTGAGAACCAAGTCTTCTGTAGTCCCCCAGCTCAGACTAACAAAGAGGTACTGAGAGTTGTGACTAACTGAATTTAACCTGCTGTGTGCCAGGCAATGTGCTAAGAATTAAGGTAGAAGATACACACGTGGTTTCTGCACTCAAGGAATTTGTTTGTAGTCTGGTGAAGTAAATCTTATTATTCTGCTTAGTGAAAATAAACCAAGACTCACCCAAATTACAAGGTTTCTCTTGCATAATCCAAAAATCATTTGCATAAATATATCCTGAGATACTTTATTGAATGCATATCTTCCCAAGCCCTATTTCAAACTTCTGATTCAGAATATCTGACAGACAGGACTGAAAACCTATCATTTAACGAACTCCCTGAATGACTCTTATACCTATTAAGCATTGAGAACCACTTACATCAGATCGTGAGAGTAATCACCATACAGAAGTCCCATGCTGCCCCTTTTTTGACTGAAGAGTGGAAGGCAACTTAGAGTGTTTCACCATCAGTGCCTGAGTCAGTCAGAGACATTATGATAATGAGCCCACAGCAGAAAGTAAAGAAGTTAGGAAAAGGGACACACAGCATTCAAGCCCTCCAAAAGGCATTGAGGAAGTCAAGAGATCTCACTCACTGCCAGGCCAGGCAAGAAGTGACTCTCAACACACAGCACATTCCTAAATGGCACTGGGGAGAAGGGAAGCTTTGCAGTTCAGAGGACCCTTTGCAGGTCCTTCTGTATATATTGCTGAGGCCATTATCCTTTTCCTCTGATGTTGCTGATCTCCAGATCAAGAACACACAGGTGAAAGAACACGTGCCTTGGCACCTGTGCCCAGTGCCTAGATAACTTGCTGCATCTGCCTCTCTGTTACCCTTTCTCTTCCCCTACAGCACCCCCCAGAGCGGGTCCAAACAAAATGGTAGCGTGCACACACACATGCACACCAATGTTTTCACCCTCTGAAATAGTCATTTTATCTCCATATCAGTTTTCACATCTCTCCTGCCTTGCCCCCAACTTCTCTTCTCTTGACTGGTATCCATGAAGACTTTGGCATCAGAAGACCCGGATTTGAGTTTGCTCTCCCATTTGATAACTGAATGACCTGGAGTCTTCCCCCTCCAACTTCATTGACTCTCCATTTCCTTGTGTGCAAAGTGGGCGTGATAATAATCCTTGTAAGATTATTGTGAGGATCAGACAATGCACAGGATGTGAGAATAGTGCTTTGTAAACCTACAAAGTGCAACAGCTATTACACTGGAGAAGAAACTGTTATGCTATGAAGGACACTGACTACATGATGGTGACACTGGTCACAGAGACTGGCCGAGGCTGGACACAGGCCTCAGGAGCCACTGCTGTGGAATGACCATGAAAGTCTCCATCACAAGTGACGGCGAATAAGGATCCACCAGTGACTCTCGTGGGCAATCTGGAATACATTCAAAAGAGGTCAGCACTTAAAAATGGGGAAAAGAAAACAAAATACTTGGAGGGAGAAAACAGCAAGGCAAAAGGCTGAGCAGGCAGAATCTATTAAAGAGAAAGAAGGTGGCAGAAGGGGGAACGACAGACAATGTCAAAGGCACCACCACAGGGAAGCACGAGAAGGGAAATCAACAGACGCCTGCTGATGGAGGGACTAGAAAATCAGGATATTCAACCTACACTAACCTAGATGGCCCAGTTCCTAAACAACCATCTTTCCTTTCCTTCATGACACTATGCAATGAAACATCTATTCTCCTCAATTTATTGTATATATGTAAAACAAACCTTGTCACTTGAGGAGACGCCAATGGACCTCTGCCATCCAGCCTGAAAAAGTCTAACACTCCAAAGGCAAATTTTGTTCTTCAAAGTCACGGTCTTCTTTTGTTGGGCCCAGAGCCCTTGGACCATTTACTAATAGTAACTTCCTAAAAAAGAAAAAAAATTGACTAAATATTTAAATATGCTCACAGCTAGATTTGAAAAGTGATATTCATGCCATGGAGAAGACACCAAGAAAATATTAGTAAACTCTTTGTTTTGACTTTCAGATCTTCCTGAGGAAATTACATATGTCGCTGTCTCAGAACGATGTATAAAAACACATAAAACAAGATCTCCTAAGAGGGGATCCAGGAATTGGCTTTAGGAAATCTATAAACTCCATAAAATTGTACAGAGAAGTTGTAATTTACATGCATTTTTTTGTCCATGAATTTCATCAAATTCACCAAAACATCTCGCCACTGAGTTAGATATTCCTAAACACCTTTTTTCTGGGACCCCTTTGACCTCTGAATATATTTTACAAATTAAATTGTCTTTCATTGATCATCCCCATAACTTGAGTTTCAATTCTAAATAATGTCACTCTTTTCTTGCCTCCTCCTTAAGCCACTTTTTTTCTTTCTCTTTTAATGTGTCCTTCCTTCTTTATTGATCCCTTTACTTCTTTTTCTTCTTGTTTCTTTTCTAACTCCCTCTCTAATTTCCCTCTCTCTCCTATCCTTAGTTAAGCCCACCAGTGACCTCCATGTTTCTCTTCTCTCAAAGCTAAAGAAGGTGCCACTGCCCATTTAAAATATTCCATCTGGGTCAGGCACAGTGGCTCACGCCTTTAATCCCAGCATTTTGGGAGGCCGAGGCGGGCAGATCACAAGGTCTACAGATTGAGACCATCCTGGCCCACATGGTAAAAGCCCATCTCTATTAAAAAATGCAAAAATTAGCTGGGCGTGGTGGCACATGCCTGTAGTCCCAGCTACTCTGGAGGCTGAGGCAGGAGAATCACTTGAACCCGGGAGGCGGAGGCGAAGTCTGCAGTGAGCTGAGATTGTGCCACTACACTACAGCCTGTCTCAAAAAAATAAATAAATAAAATAAAACAACAACAGCAAAAATCCATCTAACTCTTAGTCCTTCTCTACCACACTCCATATTCTTTTACATTTATTCCTACCCTTTCCCTTTGTCAAATGCCTGTAGGCCTGGAGTTACAGTTTGAATCATTGCAATATTAATAGCGTCCTTCATGAAGGAAGATGACATCACTAATCCACCATCAGTGGGACGTGTGCCCTTGAGCAATTTTCTCCACAGAAGGAGCAAGTGGGTATTGCTATCTTCCCACGCCTCAGCTCATACCCCTAAAAACAACCTCAAGACTATTCTAAGCTGAGATTTGGGGTACAGCAAGTAGACCCAGAATAGAAAGAAACCAACTTTATGGTCTCATGAGATTTTGATCTAGGCACAGTCTCAGGAGGGCCACACCCCAAACTAGGAACAGCCAGAATCTTTCAACTGAAATTGATTTTGTTTATGTTGAGTTAGATTTGATTACGCATCTCTAATTTGAAAGAATCAGGTGCACGGTAATGATGAAGTTACCAGTTAGCATGTACATAGTAGGTATATTACATCATCTCTAATTCTCTCAACCATCCTTGGGAAAATGATATTCACAGAGATTAAGTAACTTGAAGAAGCCACATAGCTAGTAAGTGATAAGCCCAGGATTTGAATCTACTTTTCTTTCCATTACACTGCACTGACATGTGTGTTATAGCTTCGGTTCCTTTCTTCTTGGATGCTGATAAAATGAGCGCAGCCGGTGGCAGAGAAGAGCCCAGCAGCAGCTTGAGTGACTAAGAGGCCCTCCTCTGGCTGACCTTCCCTTTCACGGCCACTTTCCTACACCAAGTCTGAGATGCTTTCAGTAACTAGAGAGCTGATGACTCATGCCTGTCCTCAGAATTTTAAGTGATCCTTTCGTAACATGCTATCTTATCCCTGGCAAGGAAGTAGGATCCATTTTTTTGCCTGTCTTTACTGAACACTTACCTGCTCTCGTAACTTTGATCAGCTGGTGCAGGAAGTAACAGAGGCAACCTAGGAGCAGTTTGTTTCTTTTGTCATGCCTGGACAGTGATCTTTTCTTGACTGGAGCCAGGTATGACATACTTGTGCTCCAAGATCAAGTGAGACTATAAATGCTAGCCTTCTACTATGCTCTGGTTGCATTTTGTATATCCCTCCTTCCTTGCAATGCTATGCCAGTTGCTGAAATGGAATTTCAGAAGAGGTCTACTGACTTCAGAGACCATATGTTCAGTCACTACTCTATATTGTTCCCAAAATTCTGATAGGAAAAATTTGAAGAAAGAGGGGGAGGGAGTTTCTTCTAAATGTAGATCAGTTTCCCTGCTTTGAAGATTAGAGAGAACTCTCAATTAATTCTATAAATATTTGTTGGATGCTTACTACATCCTAGCCTCTCTGCTGAGTTGTAAGAAGCCTACAGGTGTATTAAAAAAATTAACTCTAGCTCAAGAGACATACAAGGAAAAAGACTTTCAAAATTAAACTGAGGGGGGAAATGATGCAACAAAAGCATGAACAAAGTGTAACAGAAGTCCAACGGAAGAAACTAGAGGAATCTGAACAGGATTCTTTCAGAGGCTGGTCCTGAAAAGGTGGAGAGGATTTCTGTACCTAGAGAAGAACAGGAAGGATTTTTCCCACTGAGAATTCACCAGAATTATTAATAATCATACCTAATGTTGTTGAATGCATCCTATGTACCTGACACTGTTCAAGGTACATTCTATATATATTGATTTATTTAACTCTGATAAAAATCTCAAAAATTAATATCATCTTCTCCATTTCACACATCAAAGAAGTAAGGTTCTTGAAGGTTAAGCAACTTGGCTAAATGCCTGGGCTGGCTGAGGGGGTCTTTGGCTCAAAACCATGAACCTTCTTACTACCTGACATTATCTCCACATCACATTTGTGATGTCCTCTACAGATGTGGATGTCATCCTTGTACAGGAGCCATATTAATGAATCTATTAATTTTTGTTGTTTGTTTAAATAAGATTTTCTTCACAGCCTAAATAAGGCACAGAAACAACAAGCAGCTCAGCACTAGCCAAGGCACAATAATAAAATAATAACAATTATTTATCAGTATTACTATGTTTTTTAGCATTTACTGAGCTTTACTCTGTCAAATAATGTTCTAAGTACTTTTCAGGTATTAATAGAAAACTACCCTATAATGTAATTTCTATTATAACTCCCAGCTCACAGAGATGAGGACATCAGTACATATATAGGTGACAGGTTATAGGTTGATCACCTATCCTATCTACTTTATGTGCTTTATTTTTGGGTCAGGGGAGACCATTTTATCTGAAGCCTATTTTGTTTGTCATAGCCAAACTTTATTCCTTTCCCAGATGCTTCCTTCCTTGACATTCTTTTTTTCTTAAATGAAAGCTCCAAATCTGTTTACCTCTGAATTGTGTCTATTAGTGTCCCTGGGCAAATGGATTTCATTGCAGTTCAAACCAGACTCTGTTGACTAAGGATTTCCAGGGTCCCTAAGTTCCTTCTGGTGTAAAGGGCAGTGGCTTGACTTGCACAGAATGTCTGCCAGACTGGCTTAGAACACATTCGAATGCTTAAAATACCAGTGCAGTCAAAGGCCAGCCTGCCAGATGAATGCTGACTGGCAGGAAGAGCAGACATTCCAAAGAAAGTGCTGTCTGTCTTCAACCCCCAGCTCTCATCCAGGATTGAACTCAAAGCTTGGAGCAAACAGCCAAGAGTTTCAAGAGTTTTGTGTGCTGCAAGAAAAAATAAGGAAAAGAAGAGAGATGTTGGTGCACCCTTTCCTCTCTAAACTTCCACCCCAGCTAGAGAAAACACACAGCCAGGCTAACTTCTGTCACTTTCAACGCACAGCCACTAACCTCCCTGAGTCCTTTTGTGGTACCCTCTCATCCTATTATATATCTCTAATTCATTCCATCTCCCTCTCTTCTAGACAAGAATTTCACACCTTTTCCTCCCACTTCAAACATACAATTCCTCATCTTATATTCACAGCTGATAACAGAACATCCATGTGCTCCCATCTACCAGTCTACCTATATGCACTCTCTTAACTCTTGTTACAATGCATGAACTCCGTGCTCCTAGCTGAAGTCAACTCCGATATTTGTGCTCTGAGCTCCATTCCCTCATACCTTCTCAAGGATTTTGTTCCCTCCAAAGTTTCATCTCTTTACTACATAATGAATTATCCTATCTGCATACAAACACACTGCTGTTTATCTCATTTTAAAACCCATCTCTCAAACCCACTTTTGCCTCCGACTGTTGCCCTGTTTCTCAACAATCATCAGAAGTTGTCTATACTTGGTGTCTTCCCTTCTGTTCTTTCCATTCTCTCTTGAACCCATTCCAATCATACTTTCCCTCCCAGTACATCTTTAAAACTGCTCTTGCAAAAGTCTTCTTGCTCTCTCCTCACCACCTACAACACATACACATAGTCAAATCCAGGGCTCAATTACCATATTCCATTGCACTCAACTGCAGCATTTGACTCTGAGGATCATGATTTCCTTCCTGAAGTACTTTTTTCCTGGAATATCATTCTTTCTTGGCCTTCTACCTACTTCATTTGTTGCTCCTTCTCAATTTTCTTTATCAGTTCCTACTTATATGCCTGCCATCTAAATATGTACAGGACCAGGACCACACATTCTTTAGATGCTCAGCATCTATACTCACTTTCTTGGTGATCTTCCCCTGGTCTTGTAGATTTAGATACCATGTCTATGATGACGATTCCCTAATTCATATGTCTAGCTTAATCCCTCCTCTGAACACCAGCCTTATAAATACAATTGCCAGTCAATAGCTCCACTTGGATTTTTAATAAGCATTTCAAGTTTATCGTTCCAAAAAAATGAGCTCTTTAACTTCCCTTCCTGTCCTGAAACTTTTAGTTCCTCAGGCCGAAACCTTAAAGTAATCCTTGATTCTTCTTCTCCTGTTAACCCCCATAACAACATACTATGTCAGTTCTTCTCTGAAATTATCACCAGAATATGACCACATCTCACTACTTGGACTGCTACCACCTTGGCTCCAGCCACCATCATCTTTTTCCTGCATTACTGCAAAGCTGCCTCATTAATCACCTTTCTTCCATCTTTGTTCACTTATAGCCTATTCTGTAATCAGAAACCAAAGTAATTTTTTTTAATGTTGGTCAAATCATGTCACTCTCCTTCTCAAAAATCTCTATATTTCTTATGTCACTCAGAGTAAAATCCAAAGTCCTTACCATCTGCAGTGGGGCATTAAGATAATCTGTATGACAGCCCAACATAACAGAATAGCATTGACTGGCATTTTCCCATTTTTCTTTGTTCAGGTAAAAACCTTGGAATCACCCTTGTCTCGTCCCTTTGTCTCAAACTCAATCTCTACTTCATCTGAAGTTCTGTCAACTCTACCTTCAAAACATCCCCCATAGCTGACCACTTCTCATTATCCTCATTGCTACCATCTTAGTCCAAGACACCATTGCATCTTATAAGCACTATTTTAATAACAATCTAGTAGGTCTCCATGCTTTCCTACTTGCACCTTTCAGGGTAGTCCTGACAAAACTTAAGCCACATCATGTCATCTCTATGTTTATAACCCTCCAATGGCTGCCCAGATAATAAGGGTAGTTTCAGAGCATTACTAGGAATGAAAATCTTATTGGTTGAAGAGTTAATTAGAGATGATAAAGTGGGGACAATGAGGACAAACTACTATTTTGAGAAATGTGGCTGTGAAC